CCAAATAATTTCATAGCCCCATTTAAGTTTCTTGTATTTAGGCTAAGTCTTTATTCAATAAATTTATCTTATCTTATCTTATATTTAGGTAAACTCTTGTGTAACCGCACCACTTCACGCGGTAATTTAGGGGGTAAATTAATGGCATCATTATTGCGGCAAATGAGCGGTAGACGATAAGCTAAGTGTATATGTAAAGAAAACCTATTTTGTATGTTGTCTTTGGTTTATTTTTCTTTAAGAGTAAAATGTCATGTCACACGAGCATGTCATGTGTCATGGAGATGTATTTTATAAATTACCGATAAAATGTTAATATTGTTTTAAATCGGTTAATGAGACGGAATAAGAGCTTTGAATGTTAATTCTGTTATTTATTTTCAGAAACGCATAAATGCTTTTATTTCGAACAATATCATTATACAGGGTGTTACTTTGCATTCTTGCCATATTTACAGAGGTTACTATATTACTGATACTGAACACAAATCCGTAAAAAAATAATGCCCGAAATTATTTTTTTTAAATCTTGAGTATTTTATTTTATCGACAATCTGTTAAACACATCACTAATTATCGTAACGCATGCACATCACTTGTTGGCGATGGCGATGAAGACTTTTTTACTTTTTATTATATTTTTAAATATCTATTGCAATCTATTGTCTTTAAAATGTCTTTTTGACACTTGTAAAAAACTGAGAAATCCATCAATCACAAATCACGTTACAAATAATACAAAAATGTCTGAAGTGTATTCAAACAACGAATAATTTAATCAAAATGGTGCTTGGAGTGTCTGCAAGACGTCTTAGACGAAATGCTTGATGACATACCCTTAGCGTTACACCAAATGCTCTACTACCAGCAGGATGGTGCTCCCCCACAATAAGGCTCATTAAGGACGTCAAGTGCGCGAATAATACGTTTGGTGAACAGTGGATTGGACGAGTGGTCCAGTAGCTTGGCCACCACGATCCTCGGACCTGACACCAATGGATTTTTGGAGTGACTTGAAACGACTGGTATGCGCAGAAGAGATAAACAGTGTAAACGCGTTACAGGAAAGGATTGTTTTAGTGAAACTGTGAGACAAAACGTTTATGTGTTGCGAAAACTAAAGCGAAAAACCTACGCTTCGCCGTGCTAGACTGTGCCTTCATCAGAACGGAGGACACTTTGAACACTTGCTTTGCAGTACGTAAACTTTGTAAGTAGGAACTTATAAATAAATAATTAATTGTGAATAAGGTGATTTCATTTCATACTTAATTTATTAATTTGTAAAAATAGGGTACAATGTTAAAATCAATTAAAACCTAATAATTNGCGAGCGGCGGCGCGCGCGCCACGCGTCCGAGCCACGCGTCCGGATGCGGCAGCGCGGCGGCCGCCCGGACGGGCACCGGCTCGGCCTCGGCCTCGGCCAGCGCGCGGAGACCGAGCGATAGTTGCTGGCACATCGCCGCCACTGGGTCTTCGCTCATCGAGCCGAGAGAGGTGATTGAGTTCTGGAATGGAAACGGTATTTTAAGTTACTTCACGTTTAACGTATAAAAGTAGAAATTACACACACACACGAATTTGAAAGGCGATTCTAGGGCATTGAATTTGGAATATGAACTTTTGGGATGTGTCAAACTAAGTTATTCTGGCGATATCAGCTTCTTTTCGATCGACCAAATAGATAAAAATGGCTGCACTAAAATGCATACCTATTTAATTTTTATCCCTATTATCAGCAATGGATATTACACAACAGGTTAACCGTTGGGGAAGAAAGGTTCTCAACTTTGTACAGGAAGACGCAGCGTACTGGGGACTACCTGGCTGCCTGTGGTTGACCAATTTGTTAAGCTTGCGCAAAGTCATCCAAAACCCATTTGTTGTTTCCTTTTATTAAGGTTTACATCTAGCCTGGCCCCTCTTTCCCACTGGGCACTCTGGGCACGTGCCCAGTGCCCCACGAACGAGGAGGCCCCCGCCTGTTCTCACAAAAGATCTTTCTCCAGATAAATAATAAATATCCTTGGACATTTTACACTACGCTTCTAGTCCCGAACTAATGATGAGAAGGGCCTCCCTTGATCTTCATGTGACCAGGGCCCCTAGTAGATTAAAGACGGCCCTGAATCTAGCAGTAATCTTCTAGCTAGACGATAAAGCTGTTAGTAACTACTCCAGGTTGGAAGGGAGCGGCTTGTGATAGTGTCGTGTTACCTCAGCGGGCGGCGGCTCGGGCTTGGCCAGCAGCGCGGGCGGCGCGGGCAACGGCTGCGCGCGCGGCGGCGAGGCGAGCCCGGCGCGCGCGCGCTCCAGGTTGGACGGCAGCTCGCTGATGCGCAGCGACATCTGCCGCTTGAACGGGGAACTGGAAATAATATGGCTGGTTAGAGATTATGGCACTTAGTGAAGGTTGAGAGTGAGAGTGAAATCGAATATGGCGCATGAGTTAAAAGTAAAAAATAATATCTATCTATCTATATAAATAAAAATGATTCATGTTCGTTAGTCTGATTAAAACTCGAGAACGGCTGGGCCGATTGTGCTGATTTTGGTTTTAAAATGTTTGTCGTGGTCCAGGGTAGGTCTAAACGGTAAACAAATACGCGCGCGATATTGTTTTTCTGTGACAGACAAAATTCCACGCGGGCGAAACCGCGGGCGGAAAGCTAGTTTCCAATAAATGACACATAAGTCAAACTTTAAAGATACTATTTGACAGATTAGGACAAATTAACTGACCGTTTGAATAAGTCTGATTATCGAGTAAAATGTTATACTTTGATTGAGTCAATAAAGTAATGAAACCAATAATGTAGTCTTTAGTTTATGTACCATTCAGGGCCATAGCTGACCTATTTATACTTTTACAAGCTTTAAGGTACTCGACCCTATGATTTACAGTAAAAATATTTTACATTTAAGGAATTTACAAGACTATACTCGCTAGGCACTGCAATAGTAGACAAAGGTCGGATATTACGAATTTCTCATTAATTTTGGGTATCAACAAACACTGTTAAAAAAAAATACATAATATTCGATTTCACTTCTCATATTCTACTATGTATTATTATTTTATTCAACATCACACAATGCACAAAATTAGTATGTTATCTAATGACATCTATAAAAAGATGTCTACTTTCTAACATAGATTCACAGTTCGCACACTAGTCAACAAAATAAGCATTTGAAATAAAAAAGTGTGAAGTATTCATTTTGCTGTCTCACATCTAGTTTTTGCCAACCATAACNTTAAACTTTAATGAATTTTAATTACCTAACTTGCCTTACTTATCGTCATCTCAGTACTATCTATTTATTCTATCTGCCATTGGTTATTTTTACAGGTCAACGTGTTTTTTTCTATTATAGGTATACCTAGATTCTGTCCTTACGCAATTTATCTGACTAAAAGCTTGTTACTTATTTATTATCCGTGTTTTTTTTAGATTTACTTTAAAATTAAGTTACGTTATAAATGTATTTTTGTTAGAGATGAAACGGATATCCGGTAACTATCCGGTAGGCCGGATATCCGGCCTAAATTTACTATCCGGCCGGATACCGGATAGTAACTCACTATCCGGCCGGATACCGGATATTAAAAAACTACGACAATTTCCTATTAATAAAATGAAATACGTCATTAATCTTTGAGGTAAACATCAATAAAATGGATTATAATAATAACGGCTTTTATTTAAAGCCCAAAAAGCCATATTATTAAGGCCTTTAAAAAAACTAATTTCTTTTTCTGGGCTATTCACTCTAATGACGAATACCTACATAAATGGTAAATATCTGTTAAGGGCCGATTTTTCAATCGTCGGATAACTTTTAACTAAAGAATAAGTTTGGCACATTGACAGTTTCAGTATAAGAAACATGTCAAAATGACAATTTTATTCTTCGGTTAAAAGTTATCCGACGATTGAAAAATCAGCCCTAAGTCGAAATATTGCCAAATAAGATAGGCGATCTTTTTTTCACTGATGGATGGTCTGATGTCATGATGCAGTTCAGTCAGATTACGCAGCAAGTAAACTAATTTAAGGACATCATCCATTTTGGCCCAAAATCAAAAGTGCCGGCAAAAAAATAAAAGTGCTGTATTCTGATAGAGCACGTCCCCCTTAGCATTTAATTTTGTTAATATGGCACCAAAGCTGTAGCACCACTGTGCATCGTAGTATTCGAGTTCTAAAAGTCTGTCTTTTTAACATTACGATTAAACTATTTACTAACAAATGAAGTCTTGAGTGATAAATGCTAAGGCAGACGTGTTCTGTCAAAATACAGCACTTTTTTTGTTGGCCGGCACTTTTGATTTTGGACAAAAAATATATGAAACGTGGATGACTTTAAGATCTCAAATACTACGACGCACAGTAGTGCTACAGCTTTGGTGCCTAAGTAACAAATGCTAAGACGGACGTGTTCTGTCAGAATACAGCTCTTTTTTTTGTTGGCCGGCACTTTTGATTTTGGACCAAAAATGTATGGATCGTGGATGATGTCCTTTTTGCTATTCAATCACACACTCACAATGGCAACTGAAATCGCCCGAATTGATCTGCCCCATAGACAAGTGGCAAAATCTGTCATTCTATTCGAACTGATTCGATTTTCGAAAAGTGTGACTAGTCTAGTCTACTAATAGACCCACTGATCGCGTTCGAAGCACCACGAAACTCGTCACGACATGCAACGAGACAATGGGCCAACTATCCGGCCGCCGGATATCCGGCTATCCGGCCTAGCAGCTGGCCGGATATCCGGTATCCGGTATCCGGCCAAACAACTATCCGTTTCATCTCTAATTTTTGTTTACACAAGTAAATCTCGCGACGAGCTTTTAGTCATATAAATTGAGTAATGATAGAATCTTTATTTTTTATTCTATTCTTTTTAGAGCATACAAAACCTTGTTTTTTAAAGAATGTTTTTCTTTTAATTTTAATTTAAGCATTTTAGTATTTATGATGCGGAATTTACTACGGCGTAGTAGCATCGTTTTTCTCTAATGTAGCTCGTAATAATTCGAAGAATTCTTATGGCCACATTCCAGCTCCATCATCAGACCCTGTTTACATATAGAATTGNTATATGTTACGGTCAAAGTGATAAATGTGAAAATTATGAATAATCGCCGGTTATTATGAATAATAACCGCATGATTTGGTAAATGTGATTAATATGAGGTCATTTATGTGTGTATAAAACTAAATAGGCGGCTTAGGGGTGGCCCAAGGGCCACCCCCGCCGCACCTTAACCTATTTTTCACTTTTAATCAAAACATTATGTTATAGGCATCATGGAAAAGTAATATTATGCAAGAAACATTCCAAACTCATTATGCCAAATTATATTAATATATGATATCAAAACGTTCAAAAGTTTGGCTGTATACGAGCACGTACACAAGATGTTGTTCTCTTTTATGAAATTTGTTAGTACTAAGTTTGAATTATTAAATAATCACTGTTAAATGTGATTAATTTATCACTTTTACCGCGACTGTCGGTAATTTTTCATAATAACCGGTTATTATTAATAATTTTCAATTAATCACATTAACCGTAACATATATATAAGAGAGAGCTATTTTTCTATCCCCGAGTAGGCATCGAAAACAAAACACGCGCGGCGGCCGCCGGCACGGCTAATCTGCAAGGAATTCACGAGCGAGCAGTGACCGATCACTGAGTTTAGTGTATTTTGAATTTGATTAGTTTTCTCGAGTATTAAGAGTGAAATTTGCTTGCAATGGATTACACTAGTATTTAAACGAAATAGTGCTCGACTCTCAGGGCAAATCATATTGTTGACTGTATTGAGTAGACATTTTTTTAAATACCTTTGCTTACTTTTGTGTTTAAACTGTAGACTTAAAGACAGCACCTTTTCTGTCGTTTCAGGTCCGGTTCACAGCGCTGGAGCGGCGGCACCACTGCCGCGAGTGCGGGCGCGTGTTCTGCGGCCGCTGCAGCCGCTACGAGGCGCCCGTGCGCCGCCTGCGCGCGCTGCGGCCCGTGCGCGTCTGCCAGCGCTGCCACGACCACATACACGGCAAGAAGGAATAAACTTACCATTACAAGTAACTGGAGCGATGTCTGGTGAGATGAACATGTTTGAAAACTAAGCTACTGTATGTTATATAACGATCTCCACAAGATAACATTAAAATGTATACTGCAAGTCTGGGCCATATCTGCGCAGAAAACTGCGCGCGCTGTGACCCGTGCGCGTCTNATATTGCATTGTCATCCGAATTGCATGTGTATCCGAAATCTTAACTCAATCGGTTGTCGTCAGGAAATAGGTCTAACTAATTCAGCTTGCAAAATTCCACCCGAACAAACATAGGTTACACACAACATACATTGTAAGCTAAATAAAATAAAATAAAAAATATTATAAATACCTTACTATACGGTGCGCTAGTTTAGAACATTTCGGGCGATCACTTGCGCCTGCGTTGGATGACATCGACATCAAGGTTCATCAATTCAAGTTTAAAATAATAGGCAGTAATGTATGAAGAAAGAGCTTCTATTCTGTACCTACCTATGCCCGTGTATTTTTGATCGGTGTCAAATCGGAGTTTTCGTGCGGGGTGCGCGGGTGTTGTGCGAAGCGTGAAGGTCAAACGCTCAAGGTCATTGAGGACTCTAATCGCCTTAAGCTAAATTACACCATATTGTTAATGACATTGAGCATACATTTTTTTAAATACCTACGCGAAGTAAAACTTCTGTACGTAGTACTTATTATTATTCTGTGGTATAACTGGCATATTGACAGTTTCAGTATGAGAAAATTATGTCAAAATGTCGAATAACTGACGATTTATTCTGAGATTAATATTTACTCTTGTTTGGTCGAATCCACCCTTAATATTGCTTGGGTTCCAATCTGGGGTCTTCGATCGAAATCTTTTTTATTTTTCAAAAATAAATGAATATAATAAATCAAGTAACAAAAATTGCTATTATTTTTGCATTTAAGAACATTCATATTGTTGACCTAAAAATCATGTGAATGTTTCAGATATTCCGCTGGTCGGCGCCCGATATGTCAAGCGTGTCAGGCGCTAAAGGCGGGCCTGCCGACCACTGGGTGCGAGACGACACCGCGCCTTACTGCACACAGTGTCAGGTAATAAATAACTAACCTCATATTAAAACAGTGTTCTAGACCTCTTCTAACATATACCAAATATAACAAGAATTTTTCATGGTATAGCACCGGTGGCGGTCTTTTTGCATAACAAAGAAGTTTAAGTTTTGTTTTATTTTCTTGATGTTGTTTTGTGTCGCTGAATAAAACATTTCATTTCCATTTTTTTATCTATGTAAACGGTAGTGTAACCGCACCAATTCACGTGGTAATTAATGCCATAATTATTGCGATACACTAACGGCAGACGGTAAGGACTGTTATGTAGACCACGTGTCAGCAGACGCACTTACACGTATAGAAAGTATTCGTAAAGGCCTTGATTGGGAATTACTTTCACGGCACAGAAAAATGACAGGCATCTTAAGTTTTTAGATTCAAAAAACTCATCATTACAATTACTACACTCGGCATCAAATAAATCGCACCTCCCGCGACAAGCACTTATCAAACGTATGCATCCCCACTTTCCACCAACATTGGTACCATTTGAAAGCCTAGTTCTAAACTTCATTTCATTAAAGGAAAGGTTTTTACCCCAAAAATGTGTCTTTACAAGGACCCAGAGTCACTTCTTCAAAAAATAGGTAGTTACGCTATAGGCATTTTTTATGACTATAAAACTGTTAAGTTGGGATTAATCGCTATCCATCTGTTAAAGAGGACACGTGAGATCTTTATTTGGTTTTATAACCATAAAAAATGGTCTAATTGATCCCAGAGGTGAGCCCAAAGTGAAGTCTATTTTCAAGTCACATTTATGGTACATGTTAATCATTTATTTAGGAATGAAATGTATTTTTCTTTAAGGATATTTATTGGGCTTTCAAATAACACCAATATTGTTGGGGTACCGTGATTGTGTCAGAAGAAAATCTTTGATGTTGATTGTTTGATGATGAGATGTTGTTCTCTTTTATGAAATTTGTTAGTACTAAGGTTGAATTATTAAATAATCACTGTTAAATGTGATTAATTTATCACTTTTACCGCGACTGTCGGTAATTATTCATAATAACCGGCGATTATTCATAATTTTCACATTTATCACTTTGACCGTAACATATATACAAATAAAGAAATGTTGACTTCTTAATTTGCCAGATTAAGAAGTCGCCGCCGGACCCTATCTACTGTATGTTATACCTTTTATATCCTTGCAGGTGCGTTTCACAGCGCTGGAGCGGCGGCACCACTGCCGCGAGTGCGGGCGCGTGTTCTGCGGCCGCTGCAGCCGCTACGAGGCGCCCGTGCGCCGCCTGCGCGCGCTGCGCCCCGTGCGCGTCTGCCAGCGCTGCCACGACCACATACACGGCAAGAAGGAATAAACTAACCCTTACGAGTAACTGGAGCGACGTCTGGTGAGATGAACATGTTTTAAGAAACCATCCGATCTTTAAATTGTGTTAAATAACGATCTCAACAAGATTAACATGACTACGAGTCTGGGGTATATCTAACTACACCGTTTTCGTTCCGCTGCGACCCGTGCGCGTCTGCCAGCGCTGCCACGACCACATACACGGCAAGAAGGACTAGTCCAACCATTACAATACTTTATGTTGGAGGGATGTCTGGTGAGATGAACATGTTTTAAGAAACCATCCGATCTTTAAATTGTGTTAAATAACGATCTCCACAACTCCACTGTAAATTTGTGTTAACGATGTCAACAAGATAACATTATGTGTACTGCAAGTCTGGGACATTGCGCAGAAAACTGCGCGTGCGCGTCTTCTAGCGCTGCCACAACAACATACACGGCAAGCGGTGTAGATTCCCACCCCAACCGACGCGATACTAAAGACATGTAGCCGAGTGAGATGTACACGAATATACTGCGGAACTGGGACCTTTTTAACTGCGCAATGAGGGCTATCGTTTTTATACTTAACAGTTGGCACCCTTGGCGATTGACAGGACATTACTCTACAGTGGCGCCATCTTGATAAGTGCAAATGCGATAGTCCTCCTACCACTTTAGCGCTCACCAGTTGGTGCCACTGTCTTCGCTACTAGCAAGTGACAGGACCTTACTCTACAGTGGCGCAAACTGGTGAGCGCTAAAACGATAGCCCTCATTTGGCCCATGCCCGTTTGCTAGCACTACCACGACAATATACATGGCAATTAGCAACAGAGAATAGATCACCACACCTAAATCGACACGAAACTAACGTAACAACTCGAACGATAATGATGCTAGTCTCTGCGTCGCAACCTGCGACGCCGCCTACTTATCACCCTGCTGCGATACTAAAGCCAGTGGGATAATGTCGAGACAAATGGTATCTTTCCTGTGTAGTAATCATGTAATCTATCGATCAAATTGCTTTATTGTTGATCACGGGTACAAAACGTAATTATTATATTAAGAGCAGAGGTGGAATTGTGTAAAGCAATCGTAATCATTTGACAGTTCATAACGTACGATAAAGTCAGTTAAACAAAGCGTTTGACAGAATAATCGTACGTTATGAACTGTCAAATGATTACGATTGCTTTACACAATTCCACCTCAGATCTGTATTCCTCGTGTAAAGGTAAACTTAAAAAACATAACCCTCCTTCTGGCGCAGTCGGGTAATAAAGTGTTTATATTGAAGAGACGGTTATTGGTTTATACATATTATGTATTTTAAGTTAATAATATGTATGTATTAACCTATTCAGTCAATTTTATCGTACCTACTGTTTTCCTTTAAAAAGTAGGGACTTGAAAAGAACGAGCCACTGTTGCTTGAATTGATGAGTATATTAACATTAAAATTTATGGATGTAACAACTTTGATTTAAAGAACGATCGAGGGGAAGACTGTATTTGTTTCAGTTTGCACTGTACTTTATTATTTTTTATGATGCACAACAATTCTCTCTTATTCCTTAGTTTCCTCATTTTAAAATTTTAATTTATTATATTTACATATACTTTTTATTTTTCTTACTATTTAAATTCTTTGTCAACGGTACACTGGAACCATCCATTTAACTGTTGTGGAAATATTTCAAAGCGTCTTAATGTTAATATTTGTGAGCTCCTAGTCCATTTACTGATTGAATACGTATGAGACCCGTTTATGTCGAACAAATATTAATAAAATAAGGTTTAATAGCCGTGCACAAAAAGTGAAATATTATTTTACATCGTAATATTTATACAATTCATCATAATAAAGAATCCATCATTAGACGTGCCAATAAATTACTATTTTAAGACATTAGAAATAGATCTGTTTTTATTGAAGTATGGGAAAGTAGAGCATATTTATTTATTATTTTTAATTTCTAAAATCATATCTCCAAATCAATATTTATCTTTACACGATACCTTCGCTAATACTAACACAATTTTAAGATTACCGAGTTCCAATCAAGAGTGCGTTGAATTAAATGTTATTATGATATTGATAATTATAATAATATCGAATAGACTGTGTCAGTTAACATTTAAAACGATTTATTTCGTGGCGCAAATAATTGACATCTTGCACGCATTGGGGGTGGTTAATTTGACGCTGGCCCCGCTTTCGCTACTCTCATGTTAGCGTGTAGTGAAAAGACATTTAGACAAATACAAATTGCAGAATTCATATTTTTTCTGTTTATGGTTTTTAAATACATTTAAATTATAAGAACATGTTACGTGTTATGTGTGTTAATGAATTACATAAAATATTAAATTGTATTTCCTAAATGAAAACGGCATAAACTCAAAATATACAGGATGCAAGGAATAGTTTGGCAATATCTTTTACAGTGAATTTGAGTCGTGCTTCTAAGATGAAACACTTAGTAACTATTTTTGTACACTTTTTACGTTATGATATGTGTCTTAATTTACTTTCCGAAAAAATGTAGTAATTTTATGATCCCAAATTCAAGTCAGCGATTTAAGTTTACTGAAGTTTTAGACACTTACATCCTGTTTATATCCGTTGTGAGTCTAATGAATTAAAAGAACAGTATGTTATGTTCCATGTGTATATTAATAATGTAATGATATAATCAATTAAAACAAGACGTTAATGAAAAATATAAACAAAATAAATTTAAATGATTCTTGCCAATAAATTGAAAATTCTACAAATTTTGTCTAAAGAAATCAGTATTAATAAATCTAAGGAATCTAAAGATTTTTATTGCAAATTAATAATCAGATTGGTTATTTATGATCTCGATCTATTCAGTTTGAATGGAACTTAGAAAAACTAATGTATTGATATTAATTAAATTGTGATGTGATTATTGAGGACTAAACAAATGTATTAATATTATAATTATTTGAAATGTTTTTTTCGTATATTAATTTAAATGTGATATATTTTTATTATTTTAGAAGCTTTGTGAAATGATGATATTTATAAAAGTTTATTATGTCATTATCATTCCAGTTTTTTTGGAATTATAACTATCCATTATGAATTGTATGAACTAGTCATATTTATGTATTATATTTATGTTGTGTTTAGTTAGTTAGATACTAATGTTACTTTCTGCTTTAGTATTTGTTTTACTTTTTAACTATCTGCATTTTAGGTAACATTCCCAGTTACTATACTCGTTGTTACAAATCTATATTTTAAGGACACATTATAAACGTATAATAGGTACACGTTTTACAGATATAATATGTGCTTTGTTGCAACGTTTTATTAATATTATACAAATATAATAATATAATACATTTCATAAAACATAATATAGTAATCATAAACCCTATCCACTTACAGGGTACATAAATAAATATTGGAATTGCTATTGTATCTACCGTGCTTCACACTACAGTGTGCTTATGAAACTCGCAAAAAAAATGAATATCAGTTTTAAAGTGTAGTAATATAAAATAATTTTGCCAACGTCTGAATGTTATGTACCAAAAATATTAAAACTTCCACTTTTTAAAGAAGTTTATCACAACTAATACTTTTTATTAATTTTGATGAAACTTTGGAAAAAATAAACTAATCAACAACAGCGTTTGCAAAATACGATGATGTATAAATCATCCAACGTAGTTTTCTATGTTTGTAAATTGGTAGAGATGTTAGAAGGATTGGAATGTAAGACGATAAGAATAATAATTAAATATCTTACAAAATTAGAGTTGGAGAAATAATTTTAGATGGAATCTGGTCTCTGTAGTACATAACAAAGCTATTTGATATAATTAGGCTTAAATATATGTAAGTGGATGTTTCTTAGTCACCTGATCTGTATGTATAGAAGAATAATTTACAGACAATATATACGTTGTTTAGGTAGTATGTAGGCACTGAAGTTTATGCCGTTGACTAATATATTCATGTATAAATGAATTAAATGGTGCAGCAAGCCGAATACGGTGTTTTATTTCATTGTTTACCTTTATTTTAAAATATTATCTTACCAAAAGATTCTCAATCAGGTAAACATACAAACAGTTTATTTTTAATTCTTGATTGTAGGCAAATAGGATGAAATAAAAGATGTTTTTCAACTAAACATAATATTTATTATTCTTCATAATATTTGAACTCTTCGTTATCTAAAATATCTACAATTCGCGTAGGTATTTACACGCTTTAGACAAAGATAAAATCACTGTAGAAAGAATATACAATAACATTCAACGAATTTTTTGAACGACATGATTTTGGTTCTAAATTAAGTACTTTTTCCCACAATATCGATTTATTGTAAAACCAAGTCGTAACATTAATATTCTTTTTCATTATAAGTACACGTTCGGATTTAGCTTACCGAAGAACCTAACTTAATGTACTTTTTATGTAACAGACATAATATTCACAAAATATGGTGCTTTTAAATATAAGAGTGCATTATACATTTCTAATGTCGGATAATTCAGTAGACAGATATCACATAATAATTTTATTACTCGAAAACCTCTGGTATTGATGATAAGATTTAAGAAATATATTTTTATTATCTCTGATCATCATTTTAAATCTGATGAGCTAGTAAGTATAATATAGTCAAAAATATGTTTGAATAAATAGCAGAATGGCAGAGAGTGAAGTCATTTTGTATTCTTTTTAATAAATATAATGTCAATTTAATCATACGGATAATGTGCCACTGTTAACGAGTAATAATAATACATTTTCACAACATCAATAATTTTCTATAAGAGGAAATATTTTTAAGTACATTCCCAATATTACGGAGATCTCAGTAAGTAGATAAAAGGCGCGAGATACATTACGCAATGCTTCTTAGTAAGGTACATTTTATTAAGTACTATATTTTACAAACTGTTACAAATGTAAGTACACGCGTGCGATATAATATTCATTATACATTTATGCAAGGCTAGCTAGTGATATGCGATCATTGTTTAGTTCCACTATACTATCACCAATATACATTTGCAGTAAACTGGAATGTAAAAATTAAATAAATTATTGACGGATTTATACTGAAGTTATTTTTATGAAACATTCAAATAAGGACTAATGAATTTAAGACGGACCAAGTTAGTTATTGTTGTCTGGTTTTGAACAATATGTAAAATACTTTTGTCAATAGACATCGATAAAACCAATAACAAAATAAATGTAACATAAACATAGATACTTATTTGAAAACAACAAGTACACCATCTACTACAGTGAACAGACGTAAGATAAGAAACATTATCATTTGTTCGACCCGAAAACCACCCTAAAGTTAATCGCTATTAATAAAAAAAGTATAAAAAACAGATCCACGAAGGGTACACAAGTAAATATCCTACAAATTTACAATTATATACAAAAGGAAAAAATATGTCCAAAACCCTATGATACAATTACGTAATTGTTTAACAATAATAAAATACTGCATTGTTCATTTAATGTTTCCACGCGTTTACGAGGCGCCCGGCACGAAGTAATACTGCATGGACGAATGTTCCGCGGACACGACAGCCTACGCGGGCGATGTGCAACGCAGAAGCACAGTGCGAGTTTATAAAGTACAACTACATGCACGTAAGCTGAATTATATTTTTACCTAACGATATATAAATAATGTTAGAAGCTAGAATAGTATTCAAGCCCGTGATGAACGTATCTAATGATACTTCCTTCCATAACTGTTGTCTATTTTAACATGCCAGTTTTAGCGTATCTTTATGTTATTCGCTATGCATGTTTCGATGTTAGGATTTAGTGGCTGAGATACGTTCTTAACTAGTAGGTAGCTTGAAAAAATTGTGCTTTACTTTTCATGTATTACATACAAACAATTCAATCTAAATACAACCGATACTTTCAATGTGTTTGAATCAAACAACAGACGCCGCAATTTTCAATAAACTCACACTCATCTATTAACAAATAATTAAGTATATTTCTCAATAAATAAGTTTCCTCCACAAATCCGTTGAATATTTTTCTTCCTGGCAAGGGATTTTTGTATATACGTACATAAATATACATTATATTAATACATTCAAGTGCGGACTATGCGTAAAATGGCATAAACACACTTGATGCGTCATCGTCGCCCGACCAACGCGGGTGTCGCACCATTTAGTGTTCGTCGTAGGAACTCTAGCGGCCGAGCGACGCGACACAATACTGACAGCGTAGCGCCTCTATGCTAACAACAAGTGCGCAGAAATTGGATTAACATTTTAAAACATGTCCAGAGGACAATATAGTCACTCTCTTATGTATAATCACAGGTGATATACATAAATAAGTGAGCAACGACGGCATCACTATTTATTCGTCGATTTTAATACCTAACAACAATAATGGGATTATCAGAACGATTAAATATTTAAGTACAAACTCACGTTCTTCGTTGTTACTACGTACGTCAAAGCCATTGCAATTTTAGTCCCAATATTTTGATTGGGAAATAATTTTAATAGAATAAATATTTTGTTGATTACGACATAACTATTTAATCATATCAAACATTTAATTTTCGAGGTTAATGACAACACATTTTTGTAACACTGCAATCGTACACCATTTAGAAAAATATATTTACAAGCACTTTTTCAGGTACTATTTGCAGTAACTCAAATTGAGAATTTCCAATATCCAAGCCACATTATAAGCGCTAATTTCCAGATATTTATGCTTACTGCTTAGATCAGACAATACGTGATTAATGTTCTTCCTTGGAAATCTTTCTGTTGAAGTGTCACCATAATCAGCATAACGACTGTATAATTAAATATTGGACGTTTTAATCTTCATATGAATACCCAGCACACAATAATAAAATTCCATACAAGACTCGATTGACTTCACCCATGTATCGTGTACATTTGAAATAGGAACTGGATTTAATATGGATTCACTTATTCCCAATGCTTCGTTGTTTCCATCAAAAGCTGAAGTATTATGGCTTCAAGCGGTCTTTTTTATTCTCAAATTAAGTTGCGGCTACTATCAATTTACGGGTGCCAGAATTTCCAATGCGCAGTAGTTATCGACAACTGAAGCATTACTGCTTCAAGGATCTTCACTTTACGCTACGGCTTACGGGCCACACAAAATTTAATCCAGAGCTGGACTTTTCCGTCTTCAAACGATGAGTTGTCCCTAGCCGGCCACAAATGACTACCAGGAGACGGAATCAATAGATTTACAGATGCCAACATTCCCATTGCTTCGTCGAAATTACTATCAAGAACTTCACGTTCAAGCGGTCAGGTGTCACCTATTTAGAGGGGAGCGGGGGCGGGCGCGGGCGCCAGGAAGGGGTTGGTGGAGTGGTGTCCGGCGTAGCTGGCGGCGCGTCCGGCGGCGGCGAGCGGCGGCGCGCGCGCCACGCGTCCGAGCCACGCGTCCGGATGCGGCAGCGCGGCGGCCGCCCGGACGGGCACCGGCTCGGCCTCGGCCTCGGCGAGCGCGCGGAGACCGAGCGATAGTTGCTGGCACATCGCCGCCACTGGGTCTTCGCTCATCGAGCCGAGAGAGGTGATTGAGTTCTGGAATGGAAACGGTATTTTAAGTTACTTCACGTTTAATGTATACAAGTAGAGATTACAGTTACAGACGAACTTCAAGGCGATTCTTGTGCAATCGAATTTTGGGAGTTACGGATTTGTCAAATTAAGTTATTTTGGCTGTATCAGCTTCTTTTCAATTGACCAAATAGACAAAAAATATTGGGCAGTTGCCTTCACTACAAACGCATACTTATTAGATTTTTATTTATCTCTCAACTACACGAGATAAATCAGACAAAGTGAAATGGATATTTCTATTGCACATTAGAACAAGTTAACCATTGGGGAAGAAAGATTTTCAACTTTGTAAATGAAGTTGATCGAATTACAATTAAGTTAGCGCGAAGTCACTGCGTGCAAAGAGCCCAAAACTATTTGTTGACTTCATGCTAGACTATTTACGTCTACTAAAGTCCGGTCGCCGAGCAAATAGAATTTCGTACAATGACCCTAAGCTACCCATCCTTATCGCTCGCGCATAATTATATTGCTGTCGCGACTGTGCGACGTGCGGACGCAGTGAGTGTGCAATATAATGACGCGTGAGCGATAAGGATGGGTAGCTTATGGTCATTGGACGAAATTCTATGTGCTCGGCGACCGGACTTTAGCAGTAATCTTCTAGCTCATTGCTTCCCAAAGTGGGGGGCGCAAAGACCTTTAAGTGAGGCGCGGACCATCTGTAAGAAACCTGCGACCGCTGAGAGAATGCATTTCAGACTGCTCGATACGACCAATAAATAATCTTGACTAGAGGAGGGGGGGCGCGGAATTTTTTGTATGGTCGAAAGGGGGCGCGTCTCAAATAAGTTTGGGAACCAATGTTCTAGCTAGAAGATAAAGTTGTTAGTTACCTCAGCGGGCGTGCTTTTAAGCGATTTTGTGAAAAATATTATTGGCAGGTAGTTGCTAATTGCTCATAAGATAGGCCCCCTTAATTGATATTTATTGTCCGTAGTGCATAATCTTTTCTTAAAGGTTTTAAACCTTTGTTCGTCACCTGTCATCCGCTTTGCAATAGAGGGAAGTCGGACCTTTCGAACTCCTCCTATGTTCTTCTGATTAATTTCGTTGCGGGTCCAATGACAGTTTAACTTTCCCCCGGGACAAACTTGACCTTCATTGGTTGGGTTTATGTGGCGGTCAAGCTGTAGATCCTGGCTACACAGGAGTTGCAGTGGTGGGAACGAGAGGTGGGAATGGTTCAGTTACCTCAGCGGGCGGTTGCTCGGGCTTGGCCAACAGCGCGGGCGGCGCGGGCAGCGGCTGCGCGCGCGGCGGCGAGGCGAGCCCGGCGCGCGCGCGCTCCAGGTTGGACGGCAGCTCGCTGATGCGCAGCGACATCTGCCGCTTGAACGGGGAACTGGAAATAATTTGGCTGGTTAGACATGATGGCAGTTAGTGAAGGTTGAGAGTGAGAGTGAAATCGAATATGGCGCATGAGTTAAAAGTAAAAAATAATTATCTATCTATATAAATAAAAATGATTCATCTTCGTTAGTCTGATTAAAACTCGAGAACGGCTGGGCCGATTGTGCTGATTTTGGTTTTAAAATGTTTGTCGTAGTCCAGGGTAAGTCTAAACGGTGAGCAAATACGCGCACGATATCGTTTTTCTGTGACAGACAAAATTCCACGCGGGCGAAGCCGCGGGCGGAAAGCTAGTTTCCAATAAATGACACATAAGTAAAATTTTAAAGATACTATTTGACAGATTAAGACAAATTAACTGACCGTTTGAATAAGTCTGATTATCGAGTAAAATGTTATACTTTGATTGAGTCAATAAAGTAATGAAACCAATAATGTAGTCTTTAGTTTATGTACCATTCAGGGCCATAGCTGATCTATTTATACTTTTACAAGCTTTAAGGTACTCGACCCTATGATTTACAGTAAAAGTATTTTACATTTAAGGAATTTACAAGACTATACTCGCTAGGCACTGCAATAGTAGACAAAGGTCGGATATTACGAATTTCTCATTAATTTTGGGTATCAACAAACACTGTTATAAAAAAATACATAATATTCGATTTCACTTCTCATATTCTACTATGTATTATTATTTTATTCAACATCACACAATGCACAAAATTACTATGTTATCTAATGACATCTATAAAAAGATGTCTACTTTCTAACATAGATTCACAGTTCGCACACTAAAGTCAACAAAATAAGCATTTGAAATAAAAAAGTGTGAAGTATTTATTTTGCTGTCTCACATCTAGTTTTTGCCAACCATAATNACGGATTTCATTGAGTTTTTTTAAAAGTACAATAACAATAGGTAATGATTAATTATAAATTGATAACAATTTTGCTAATGAATTGTAATTAACTAGCGGCCGCCCGCGACTTCGTACGCGTGAATCCCGTTTTTCCCGCTAATTCCCGTTCCCGTGGGAATTTCGGGAATTCCTTTCTTAGTGCACCTCTACGGTACCTAAGCTACGTCCATTCCAAATTTCAAGTGCCTACGTTTAGCCGTTTAGGCTGTGCGTTGATCTGTCAGTCAGTCAGTCAGTTTCTCCTTTTATATATTTAGATTACATTATAGCCTGACCAGGAACATAAAAACCCTCGCCATGTTGCGGAAAACTAATGGTACTAATTTCTTTTCTTCTTCTTCTTCTTTTTTTTATGGCAACGGCTTGGTTTAATGGCAACAGTAACTAAAAACTTCATTGATATGTCACCTTGCATGTCAGTCTATTGCTGTCAAAGTGTAAACAAACTTTATTTTAAATGTGCGCAATTGATTTTGTGAATGAAATTGCTAAAATCTTTTTATAGTCGTGAAAGAAAAGTGGTTCACAATGTGTTAAAGTATTTGTCGAAGAGAAATACCAAGGGTTCGGACAATATTTTCATTGATTAATGTTTCCAACAAAGGTTGTCAAATTGACTGACATGTTTACCTTATAGNACCATAATGGTGTTAATACATGCCGCAAAATGTTCATGCAGTTCATAAAATATCTTGTATCATTTTTAGGGTTCCGTGTCCAAAGGACCCTTTACTAAATCTCTTTTGTCAGAGAGTTGTTAGTTGCATTTCATGAAACGTAAAAGGTATTTTATTTTCTATTTTAAACCAGTGCTATTTTACTGAACTCTTCGTAACCACTTAACCGGTTTTCTACTGTATTTTTTTACAAAACCAAATAATACTACGGACCACTATAAAGCACATCGTCATCAAAGAAAACACGCACGTCTAACGTGCAAAATGCACAATATCATAGAACTGTTGCACTCTAAAAACAAAAATATTAAACAAGACATTAAAGGTGAACGCTCACTTATCTACTTATCTGCAATTTAAATAAACGCTTAGAATTAAATCTTACAGTATTCACACTTACCTACCTTTCTCAACAAACATGTTAGTCTAACTATACAACAATACCTATCTGTATTGTTGGGATGCATGTCACTATTTACGTGATGGTAAATGCGTGTTATTTGACAAAATAGTACTATTTACTATTGTTTTGTACTGAATACCAAACTTCTATGACATCTATTGCAGTCCGCGAGGCAAGACCTGAGCTTTACGGTTTAGGCCCGATTCAACCAAACTTTTATCCGAGAAAACTCCTGGTAACTGGCACATTGACAGTTTCAGTATGGGAAATATTATGTCAAAACTGACGATTTATTCTGAGATTAATATTTACTCTTGTTTGGTCGAATCCACCCTTATTGCAAGATGTTTACGCGTGGTTATGTACACGGTTTTTCACATGCAAACTTAGTTAAAATTACTTTATGTAATTTTGTGTTTGGTGCAAATGCGCAGTAAACCTTTGGACATTGCGACCAAAGTGACGAATTTCCATAACTTTGTGCTGTTTATAAAAAAGCATTGGTAGACAGAAAATTGTGTTTTAAAACTTGATTGATCAAGAATTCTACGAGCAGAGGTTCGTCAAACTATGTGTTTATACTCGTAAATTGACCGCAGATGGCGCGTGATATTTTGTTTTTATACTGATTGCCGAGTATGAAACTTCAAAATGTTATAGCTACATTATAATTCATCATTAAAAAATTGTTATATCACAATTACTTATTCTCTTCACACACGTCTTGTGAATCGATTTCACCGTTCGTGAGACTTTATTATTTAGTTATGTTTAAATTAATCGGGCGTCCTTTCATCACACTTCTTTGTACTTGATAAGTGTGTGTCAATAAAGTTTTATCTATCTATCTATTGCATTGCATTCCATTAGTGTTTATTTATTAGGACTACCAACAAGACAAAAACGTATACAAAAACATGAATTATTATAACTATTGTTATTAGCGTAATGTTTATGTTAAAACATTCAAATGGTGATCTATCCCGGCTTAGGATGCGCCACGATATCTTATCGACGATTTTAGACGACAAATGTACAGGCTTATCGTCGGAAATCGTTAAAATGCCTCGATAAAACATTACAATGGGGCGCATTCTAGGCTAGCTGGTCTATTTGTGGGGCGAAAGTAAAGCTCAGCGTCTGGCCTATATAGTTCTTGCAACTCACGAAGGCGAGTGAGTTTTACTCGTGTGTGTACGTGTACATACATAACGATAGTGTAATATCTGTCTAAACTTGAAAAACGAACAGGGGGCGTAGTGTGAGTTTACGTCAACCGCATTCGATGTCGACTGCGTAAAAAAGTGACATTAAATGTATGACGGATTGTACACACGGCCACACTGTTATCTATCCATTTCCGTTTTTGCTCTCGCTCTAATCAAATGGTGATTCTTTGCGATAGAACGAGATGACATGACTGGCAATGGGCAGTTAACACTGTTGCCGATAGTACAGCGCCCCTAGCGGAAACTTTTAAGAACTAAAATTTACATTTTTAACGCGCTCGCCAGTGACGGACGACGTTTGATCTCACACTAAGCCCTCAGTCGCGAGCCGGCACACGTGAAGCTCACTCGGCTTGGTGGGTTGCAACAACTATACCTGTTGTTGAGCTGCGCGAGCCCGCGGAAGGACTCCTGGCGCTCCAGCAGGTGTGGCGCCGCGTGCGGGCGCTCCACGGCGCACGAGCCTGCGCCCGCGCCGCTGCGGACAACCGGCGGTTAACACGGCCCTCCAAGAGTTACCACTATTCGCTGCTCCCTCCACTAACGGGACTATTCCCACCTCTCGTTCCCACCACTGCAACTCCTGTGTAGCCAGGATCTACAGCTTGACCGCCACAAAATCCAACCAATGAAGGTCAAGTTTGTCCCGGGGGAAAGTTAAACTGTCATTGGACCCGCAACGAAATTAATCAGAAGAACATAGGAGGAGTTCGAAATTAAGGTCTGCCCTCCACTAGAAGTACGGGCCACTACGGGTTATCACTGCCCGCAACCGGGTGTTAACACGGCCCTCCAAGAGATACCACTATTCGCTGCTGCCCCCCACTAGAAGTACGGGCCAGTACGGGTTATCACTGCCCGCAACCAGGTGTTAACACGACCCTCCAAGAGTTACCACTATTCGCTGCTGGAGAGCAGCAGAAGCACGGACCACTACGGGTTATCACTGCCCGCAAGCGGGGGTTAACACGGCCCTCCAATAGATTACACGACGGTTAATATTGTGCTCCCACTAGTTACACAATCCTCCAATGGCTCCAACAGATATACGACTGCTCGCAGCTAGAGATTAACACTACGCGCAACTGAAGGTTAACACTCTCCCGCTAGAGAAGTGCCGCTGCGGACAACCGGCGGTTAACACGGCCCTCCAATAGATAACACTGCTCGCTATTGAAGTTAATACTGCCCGAAATTGGGGGTTGACACTTGCCGCACTTGGCGTTAACACTGCTCTCTACTAGAGATATGACTGCCATAAAAATAAGTTATTACTGCTCGCCACTAGAGGTACGACTGCTCAAAGCAGGACGTCAAAGCTGCCCGCAACTGGGGGTTAACACTGCCCCCTGAAGATATAAAGTGTAATTGTAAATATAAAGTGGAATTTGATACTGCTGTCCACTGGATTTGAATACTGTCCTTCCTTAATTGATTGGGATTATTTGGCAGACCAGCTGAAAATCCTGGTCTATCAAAGATCGGTGTTACCTCTAAATGGATGTTGATGACCGTATCTTCAAATGAAGATTGGTAATGCGCAGTCGTGTGATAACGAGTTCTTCATAACCTTAACCATCTCGCAAATTAAGAAAATTCTCCTCATGGTAGATCGAGTTACTGTTACTGTAAACTTATATTTTTCCTAGCAAGCAACTATGATGACATCTTGCACTACCTATATAACTGGAAGTGGGACTGAGAATGCCTACTTCAATCTTGGTGAAATCTTAAAGTTGTCCAATCCGTATTGCTTCAGAAGACGTTGAAACACAACACTTATACCTTAACAGATCACCAACATACCTATTGTTAAGATGCGCGAAGCCCCTGAACGAGCCTTGTCTCTCCAGCAAGTGGGGCGCCGCGTGGGGCCTTTCTACCGCGAAGGGGTTATGGGGCGCCGGCTTGGACACGGGGGCGGGAGACACGCCCACTCCGCTAACGGGTGACGCGTCCGCTTCCGAGCTGCGACGGGCGGTTATACCTGGAATTAGGTGGTTGGGTTACAACAATTGCTAATACCACCTAAACTATACTATTACTAATATTAAAAAACTTTTAAAAAAATATTTCTGTGTTACATAGCTCATTTATCGAGGAAGGCTATAGGCTGTCATCACGAAACGAGTAAATAACTATTCTACGCGGACGAAGTCACGGCAGAAACTAGTTACTACAATATTCCTACTTCTCGTTTCCATCTCTGCAGGATACATTCCTGTGTCTTGACCGGCAATAAAAACTTAACCAGTTAGCCATACCCGGGTGAAAGTTAAAGTGTCATTCATTGGACCTACAATAAGCATCACGATTTAAAGCGTTCGGTCAGGGTTGAGATTGATTTGCTTTAAAAAATTCGGTCTATTCCACTTTGATCACCTGGCTTTGATGACCCAGGTGATCAAAGTCCACTTTCAGCGACAATTTAGTGTCCTTTGATCACCCACGGATACTATGCTCTGGGTGATTAAAGTGGACTTCAGTTAAATTACTATTTTAGTGTCCTTTGACCACCTATAAATAAATTATAACTCTGAATAGTCACATACATGTCCAATTTGTTTGTTGCGGTTTTTAGAAAATATCAAAAATGTATAAAACAAAATATGTAAGTATAACAATTGGACATGTGACTATTCAGAGGAGGTGTGATTTGTATGTAGGTGATCAAAGGACACTAAAATTATAATTTAACTGGAGTTCACTTTGATCACCCAGGGCATAGTATACGTGGGTGATCAAAGGACACTAAATTGTCGCTGGAATGGATTCCACTTTGATCACCTGGGTCATCAAAGCCAGGTGATCAAAGTGGAATAGATCAAAAATTCTGGGCATATCTCTCAGCGCTCAGGATTCGATCAAGATCCTCCGCATTGCGAATTGCGAAGTGTAGCGGTGATAACAAGTAACAAAAGTTTGACAAAAGAGCATGAATACAATAGTAGGGTTTTGAATATTTCGCAATCGGTTTACTGTCCATGAATCACGAACGAAAAGTACACAAATACTTATGTCATAAAACAATATGTAGTTAGCTACGTATCGGTTGGGGAATCGGTAATCGCTTCACATTTTTGACATAACATACCTATTTTATTTCAACGAATTACTTTTCCAACTAATGCAAAAATTAATTACCTAATTTAAACAATACCAAAGAAAATCAACAATTAGTGAAAGTGAAAGGTCTTCACGGTGAAATTCAAACCATTGCGAAATAATCGTGTCGAATCCATACCTAATTTTATTCGATAAAATACAGAAATTACTATTAACAGCAAATCGAGCTGTGGTATTTCCAATTACTGGGCTTATTACCGATTACGCAAATAGCTTATTAAAATGTGAATTCAGAAAACACAAAACAGGATGGAAGGAAGCAAATGGCCCGTAATGAGTGTTGTAAGATAGCAGTTGCTTTAACGAGTGAATCACAGTCACTGGGGTTTTGTATGGATCATTATTGCGGAAGAGGTAAATTGTAGTTAGGAAAATGCCTGGGGTATGCTCATTATGTCACATCATTAAATAAATCAGATGCAATGTTTTTATAATTAAGATAAAAAGTAAACAATTTAAAATAGAAAGAACGTGCAGTACAAAACAGTCGCATAGCAAACAATTAAATTAAAACTCAAGCTTTATTGCTCTATAAAGATTCAAGTCCCACCGGCAGTCTATTTTTAAGACAGTATCTTCTAGTTAAAAAGCAAATAAATTAGTGAAACTTCGGTTATTATATGCACGCGTCCTGATGATTTATTGTGAGACATTCTAACAGCTTCACAATGCGACTTCAGGCGAAAGTCGCCAAGACCGTGCGAATATCGTTATCGTGCAGCATAAGGCCTTACATAAAGGTCAGAATAAATGTTTTTGATGTCGTGAGATGTGTTACTTTGAGGATATTGAGGTTTTATTTTAAATCGAGGGTTATGACTGTTTAAGTCGTCTGCAAACATAACACATACCTATCGTAGGACATAGATAATTTGACATAGCGCTGCGTGCTAGTTACGCTTGCTTTCGTAAGCTACGGTTTTATAGCATTTTCTTTACGATCTTGTAGATAAATGGTGATATGAGCACAATCGTATTAAAATAGCTGCTTCGTCACAGAACTATTTCACTAAATTCTACAAACCCTACTCCAACTCAGTAACAATAAAACAGTGCCACAATAACAATAATGATTTCCATAATGGCCGCTTGGTGGCCATTGTGGAAATCGTTGGGGGAGGCCTGTGTTCAGCAGTGGACATCCTATGGCTGAAAATTATAATGATGATGACAATAACAATAAACAACATTAATTGTTGTAGGTAGTGTAGAATCTCACCAGACTTTCGGAAGGATCCCTGCCTAGTGAAGGCATGGCTGGCGGCGTCGATGCTCATGCTAACAGCACACTCCTTGTCCCGGCGCTGCTTGCGTTCCAGACAAGCGGCAAAGGCGCAGCCCACCGCGTGGGACAGTCGCTCGCCGCTGTCCCGCGACGCCAGGAAGCCGTGGCACATCCACCGCCGGGTTGTCCCGTCGCGGCAGATGTAGCTGAAATATAGTTGACTGTGAGACTTTGAACTAACTAACTCACAAAGGCAACAAGGTTTTTGGGACACTTCTGTTTAGCGTGACTTAAAAAGAATAGGAATCAATAAACAATGACAGATTCCAGGTAAGCGACAGGCGCAGCCCACCGCCTGCGACAGCCGCTTGCCGAGCTGTCCTGAGAGGCCAGGAAGCCGTGGCACATCCACCGCCGGGTTGTCCCGTCGCGGCAGATGTAGCTGTGAATAGCCGTTGTTTATGACTTATGTTATGCTCAACCCCACAAGGTGTTCTCCCGAAATACCCCACAAGGTTAGGGTTCAAGGATTAGGAAGCAAAAAAACAATGATAAAGTGACGAGAAACAACATGGAACAAGCGAGTAATGTAAAAGTCACAATTTGTCTAAATACCTACGTCCTATTTTAGCCCTAACTAGTTTTCAATAAACAGTAAAAACAATGGCAGAGAATTGAGTTCAAATAAGTTAAGATAACTCTTCGAAATTGTTAATCAATTTTAGATGTTGACTACGATTAGTATTGGTAGAGATCGACTAGCGCCCACATGCTCGTTAAACGCATAAACGAGGCAATTGTACTATAGAAGTAGGTGGGACAATTGTATTGATAATATAATCAACAAAACAATTTAAGGCTCAAGAGTTTTAGGGCTACACCTGCAATCCAGCATGCAATGTAAACTAGCTAAACACTACATAGCTCAAATTGAATACATACCTAAATCCTCTTTCATGATTTCTATCGGGCGCGCAGAAAGACACTTTCTCAATGGTCTGATCAACAATGAGCCCCTTAGTTTCTTCTTCCACAACGCGTAGTCCATCTCCGCTAACGTGTAGAACCGCCCTAACTGGGCGTCTTCGGGAATTCTGCAAAAAATAAAGACAATAATTAAATAATGTTTTTCAATATGGTGGCAGAAAGCACAACAATAGGTTTGTGTACATGGCACATAAATGTTAAGTAGGTATTTATTACTTGTTTGCTTCAGTTACATGTAAGATGCTAATTTACGTACAGAGGACAGCGCATCCAGTTAAATACTGTGGCGAATTATGTCGTTGAAATAAGTCCTATTTTGCAACAAAAATGTATAGTCTGATGAGCACTTGACTGTACTTTAGGTTGTGTTGACAATAGGTAATGCTAATGACGCTTAAGATTATCCGTTTCAACCGGATTCCACTACTGGGCAAACGTTTTCCTCCCCCAAGGAATTCCATAACGACCGGTCTTACGTTGCCTGCATCCAGGTGCTTTCCGCGACCTTCACCAGATCGTCGGTGCAACGAGATTATAAATTAACTTGTAGTGCAGTATCCTGTTTTTCTGAATCTTCTAATATCTTTAAAAATATACCTTCATTAAACTTTCGTAAGCGCAATCACATTACCAGTGACATTCGAATTGTTTTTGTGCAATGACGCGTGGCCCATTCAACGTCTGAACTTGGGAATTAATGGCTATGACATTTGCATTACCGCAGCATTGCATTGTTCTTCGTAATTATTTAATTGACACCACGTCTAAATTATCTTAGAACATTTACGCGTCTTTATACACGTTTTATTATGATGAAAAACCATAAAAAGTTAACAAAGTCGGGTATGTATAAGAAGACCTTGTACTTTATACTCGCACAACGATGGAAGTCTAAATAAATCTACGATCAATAGTCAGTCCGATGTTGCAGTTACATTTAAAATTGATGAATCGATAATGGAGCATTCATTGAATGGTACCGTCGACAATCGACAACACAATTCAGAACTTAAATTTCGTCGCAAAATAGAACTTATGACTACTACATTAGAAGTCATAATGATAAGATTTATGTGTACCTTTTGTGACCTGTCTGGTAAATCTAGTATTCTAGTATGTAGTTACTTATGTCGAGAGTTAGGCTAGAATCATTGATTTTTTAGCCAGGTCATGCGGGTTGTGAAGCGATCGCATGACGTTTGAAAAACTTGTCTTAGGTAAAATTATAAAAGTTTGGAATGCGAAGTTTATGAAGTAGCAAAAACTCAAGTTGAAATATTTCAAAGAGAAATCAGTCCAAATCTACCCTCTTATGTGAAGGAGGTATTTATCTTATCTCTCTCTGAGACTAATCCGAATCTAAAAATCTTGTCACAGATCGATCACAGTCCAGAAATAAACTATGTATTCCAGAAATACTTAAACAATTTGTTTTAGAAATAAGAATTACTCTTACTAATTAGTTTTTTGGGAAATGCCACTAATCATTTGCTTATTATAAAATTCAAAGACCTATTAGATCAATCACGGATTTAATTGAGTTTTTTTAAAAGTACAATAACAATAGGTAATGATTAATTATAAATTGATAACAATTTTGCTAATGAATTGTAATTAATTACATTAATTGGTTTTATGTTTATCAATGGGAAGTCAATATTTACGAAGAAATAAATTTTTACGTTGTTTTCATAAATATTTGAGACTTGTTTACTTGTTATGCACTGATGTCTGACCGGCGCATACGACATGCATGCAAGATTGTTTCCATCTACATTCGGGGCATGTCTACATCGATTTAATTTTGTTCACGACACTTCCCGCTTACATTTTGCACGTCGACTGTGTGTAAATGGTGTGTAAGAAATATTTATGGTTGGATCGTGTATTCTTTGTTTTTGAACTCCTCAATACCATTACCAGAGTTAGTTTTCAAGGGCTACACTTCTAAATATAGCTCTTGGGAACACGCACGAACGGAGTTTTAGAAAACCACCCCTTAATGGAGCACCATTAGAAGTAGCTAACTAGTTAGTAATTACAGAGGAAGTGCGAACACATTTTAGAGAGCTTTGAGTTTTTTATACGTTTGTATATTCATAAATCATAAACACTTTTAGAGGGCTTCTAGTTTTGTATGCCTGTAGGTCGTACGTAGTACAGTTTCCAAATGTACTATTACGTGGCGATTAGAGTCCTCAATGACCTTGGGCGTTTGACCTTCACGCCGCGAGCAACACCCGCGCACCCCGCACCAAAAACTCCGATTTGACACCGATCAAAAATACACGGGCATAGGTAGATACAGAATAGAAGCTCTTTCTTCATACATTACTGCCTATTATTTTAAACTTAAATTGATGAACCTTGATGTCGGTGTCATTTAACTCAGGCGTAAAGGTATTTAATAAAAATAACAAAATCCATGAACATTTTGCGCGGGATAAAATTTTATTTTATTTTTTGTAAATTTTCTAATGCTTTTGTCGGTTCAGTCGTTCTCGAAATTTGAACAAACCCGACTTTATTACAAGCTTTAGTTTGCATTCATCGGAGAACAGAACTCGCCTCCATTACTCGCCTTCCCATCGAGATGTGTACGAGCAAATTGAAAGGGTGCTTATCGGTGACCTGCCGTCAGTTTCGAGCCTGTGGCAGGCCTTTTTGAAGTCAAATTCTATTGCTTATATCTTAGACGAACTGTCCACTCGCTAACAGCTATCTTACGAACATTTCTGAGCTCTTGATGGACATCGATTCCAGTCAAATGACGATTTCATAGAGAGGTTGACATGAAAAAACGGTCTTCCCTCTGCGATGTGCACCGGCGCTGTTCAGAACTTGGTCTCGGGATAAAGCCACTAGTCTCCCGAAAGCGTCTTGAAACTTTTGAAACCCAGGACTGGCTTATGTGGCGCTGACGTGCGACAGCCCGCTGGCTGAGCCTTTCTTGCAATAGTGCAACGATTTGTGCTGCTTCTGAAGGTGTAGAATCCCAGGTAAAGTGTCAAAAGAAGCGGAGATGTGTATGAATCATCGTGTGAAAGCAAAAATCTAAAAACGCGTGCTTTTACAGGGGTTAAATAGGCCGCAACTCGCGACGTATCAAACAGTTCATACATGTCTTTTTCGTTACTTCTTCACATCAGCCGGGATATCTTTTTAAATACTGGTGTGATTTAAATGAATTTGGTATCAATTTAAAGATAAAAGTTTAATCTTTAAAATGGTGCCACTTTTTTTGTTACTAACAAATTCGTTAGTACACAAATTCGCGTGGAAACAACTTCATGTAAGTGATTCCATAGTTTTGCTCGCGAGTGTAGCTCTTGGGAACACGCACGAACGGAGTTTTAGAAAACCACCCCTTAATGGAGCACCATTAGAAGTAACTAGTTAGTAATTACAGAGGAAGTGCGAACACACTTTAGAGAGCTTTGTGTTCTTTATACGTTTGTGTACTCATCATCACTTTAGAGGACTTTTAGTAATGTATACTTGTAGGTGTAGGTTCTCTAGGTAGTACAGTTTCCAAATGCACTATTAAGTTAAGTGAATCTAGAGCTCACCAAAGGCACTGTCAGGTTTTTAGTGGGTAAGTAGGAGAGATCCGCGGTAAATAAAAAGATGCTCTTATACGCTTTGATCTTAAACTTAAATCACACCTACCCTAAGTACTTTAAGTGCCTCCTCGCACACTTGCATGCCCCGCGACTCGAAGACCTCGACGCAACCAAGGTACTTGACGGGAAAGGTGCACGTGCCCGCCCTGACGGCGGCTTCGTCGGCGTGCCATTGGTGCGGGCGCGCGGATTCCGGCGGGGAGCCCTTGCGCCGCCGGAACGACTCGCGGAAAGACCGGCGGAGTCTCTCCATGCCTGCCCGCGGCGGCGAAAGCGCGCCCCCCGCGCGCGCCCGCCGCAACGAGCTTCGAACTGATGACTTCTGTAACCAATGCAAAGGATATGTTAATACAATTCGTTCGTTTTAACTAAAGGACAGCTGGGCGAAGACCGTAAATGACGGTGAACCATTTACGGTTTCGACCAATGCGAAGGATATGTTAATACAATTCGTTCATTTCAACTAAAGGACGTCCACCCACAGCTGGGCGAAGACCGTAAATGACGGTGGACCAGTAATTTGAAGGTCTCGGAAAGAACACGGTTGCGGGCAGCGCATGATCGGTTGTGGAAATCCTTGGGGGAGGTCTTTTTTGTCCAGCAGCGGATGATCATTGATTAATACAATATCGGGCACATTATCCGTGTTTTCAGTAGTGTAGAATAGGACTACCCCACTGTTCTCGTGGATGGCGTAAGAGCCGACTAAAGGAGAAATAGCCCATCATCGAATTCACTAAGTAAGTATACAGGATCTTGATCTACTCCTTTCTATAAGAACTTCCATAAAGAAACGCCAAACATTACGCGGTTGACCGGTTTGCCTGACAACAGATTTGTGTCCTAAAGTTTCTCTACATAAAATAGTAAAGTTCTTTCATAGCTCTGTTATAAAATTCTACAAAAAAAATTCATTTAATTAAATATGATACTTGAATTAAATAATATTGCTTAAGGAAACTGCTTTGCCGCTAAATGATGTTATTTCCTTCTGCCTAGAGCACTCATAAAGTATAATGTAGGTAAATAAAACGTATGTAAATGATACACGTCGACAGCGTAGCTAGCAATAAGAATTAATTATTCAACATTAATTACCCTTTAAAATGATTGACGCTTCCTTTCCTTATTGTTTGAAATAACAAAATCACGAGGAAAAATCTGTATTGTTCGTGCCAGTAAAGCAAGAGCAGTACGCACCACTAACACGTCACACCAGTAGTACCTAATTACTGTATCTACATCGAAATTAGTTAACTGAATTAATAAGATGGCTGCACCTCGGCGTAGAGATAGTGACTGATAAGTGATAAGATTACGTTCAGGCGGCAGCAAGTGCTCGCTCCACTTTTTAATTAATTTCATGGAGATAGTTTTCACTTTCTTTAATGTTCATACTTGGTAATTAGCATTAATGTAATGTGTCCCGCTCTAATTACTTATGGTCATATGACTATAAATTACTCTTATTTTTGTGACCACTATGCAAGTTGTTTTGGAAAAGGTAAATAGCAGCTGTTAAATATTAAATTAAGTTTTCAAATAATGCAACCTACTAAACTCTAAAGCATTAGGTACAAAGTTTTCACTTAGTTTGATGGCACTAGAGAAAACAATGAAAATTATGGTCAGAGACGCGTCGTACGATAAAAAACTACTAAAGATGTTTACATTTACACTTTAGGTGATATTAAAAAACGAAAACTGGTACTGAAAGTTAACGACACGATGGTTAAAGCTCAATAATAAAACTTTTTTTCTAATTACTCCCGCAGATCTTTGCCAGGCTTTATGTAACACAAAAAATGTTATAAGATAAGCTGTAACTAATGAAGCGGGCTGGGCTGATGAAAGTGCACAAACAATATGCCTAAGTAGCACAACTTTCATTAAGCAAAACATAGGCGAAGAGGTTTTACTACCTCACTGAACAAAACCAATCATAATTAAAGTCACCGTGATCTTACATTATATTTCTGACTTACAAAAGAAAGGAAAGCGTAATTTACCTAGTACAATATGAGTTTTGTTTTAATTGAAAGCAAATTTATTATGCATTAAATGGTGTTTTTATTCTGGGTATCTCTGACCATTTTGTTGTTTGTCTGAGAATTTTATTACGCTCTAATATTTTTGATGATTTAGAAAACTAAACGCAAACTAGTAGCTCTAATTGTAACGTAGCCTTTACGTTACAATTAGAGCTACTAGTTTGCGTCTAGTACTTGGAGTATTGCCATGTTGCCAATGTTGCCATGGTGACAAATTTGTTTACAGCGGTTATTTATTGTCTCGTATCAATTAACGATCGAACTCGAAATAGGTCCCTACCTAGACTCAATGTAAAGTGTTTTTCAAAATCCTCTTCAATTAGCGGCATCTTCCTCTCTGTTATGTAAATCTCTTCTTATGATTTTCCTACAACTTTCCACTATGTTCAAAACATGTATAATTTTAATTTCTTATCACACGTGCATACCAAGATAAGCTCATAAGCTGTTTCTTTTTTTGTCACAGGTATCATTTTTATACTTTTATGATGTTCCAAATATGTACCTTAAGTATAATTATTAAAGCTAGGAATTATAGCCTGCTATTATAAGATTTCATTCATACTCGTACGTAGGTAGAGTCATCGGGAATATCAAGGACATGAGAATGGAAGCCAGATTTTTTTTCATGGCATGGTCATTGATTTTACCTTAAAACCTTTTAAGAGTTCCTTAGGTCCTATACTTTTTATAACTATCTGGCGTACAACCTTACAATCCCTGTACCTCCCTTGAGAGATGAATCCCTATAAATCTCGTTTTAGTACCCAATAAGACGTGTAGCTTCCGTCCAAAGCTATTTATTCGGGAGGATAGGCGTTTATTCGGGAATTTCAGTAAGAAATAGTTACATTTGTTTTTATATAGATTTAGAGAAAAGATACATTAAGTATCAGATTATATGTATCGATAATTGATATGACGATCAGACTTTATGATGATAATGTCCAATCTATAACGAATATTGGCCATTACTCACACTAAAAATACAATTCATATTTTAAGCGCTATTTCATCATCCGTAATAGGGTAAGTCTTAAAGGGGAATGAGTGTATAAAATGTTTATGATTATGTATTAAAATACGCGACGGGGCTCATCAGCACGATGATCGTAACATTCACAATAAATAGGAGATCAAAAATAAACCGCCACGTGTTAGTTTAGTGGACTATGAACCAAAATGGGTTAGTAATGCGCAAATGTTCGAGTGTTATTGTAAGTTGGATGAAGTTGAACCCCCACTGCGTGTAACATCTGCGCTTGTTCGAAAAACACCGCACCCACATAGGTATTGCCCGAGACTATTTGTAAACATTTTGGACTAATCAACATGCAGTTCTCAAAGAACTTGCTTCCTGAAAGCGATTGAACCGGGGGATTACCACGAATGGTCATTAGCTTCAACTCTGGTCTCATGTTACCACATAAAGGCACGCAATTATTTTGATAAATCGTTACATATACGACAAGATTTAGATAAGCAAATAGGTGTTATGGACACCTTAAATGGAAATGAGCAAGGTAAAGTACATCCGATTCTAAAATAAATCGTATTTAGTACGAATATCTTCTAACCAATTGATGAGACGATTAACTATTCGTGCAAATGCTTTGGACTTAACAATGCTTCATTTAGCGTGAATAATAAAAACGTAGTACACATTTTATTACATTCACATTCACACTCAACATAAAATGTTGCTTGCTATTTACAATCCCATTATTATTCAGAAACATTTCATACTGCTGGTGGAAAATCGATTTTCCGGATGTTAATGGCCGGTATCGATACGAAACTGTGTTAAATGTTTGAAATAGTTGTCACAATTAAAATTCACTCAGGCCTTTGGTTGCAATGTGTTGATAAGCAGTGGGTTACGAAAACCTGTTTGCTTACCATGAAGTAAGAAATTAATTGAAAACGGTTATTTCAAATTAACGAACTGTAGAGTCATCAAGGCCGTATCGAACCATTCAAGTTTAAAGATATTCGTTTTTTCGGTCAATCATCATTGATCGTTTCTGTGTTATAGGTACTTTAATTTATTCAATAACTACAGATAATGGTTCTAACAACCAGTAATGCGTTGAAGTGAAGGGCTCTACCGAGGTCGATGGATTTTCAGGTATGTCTATTCTACCTAAAACAGAATGCACTGCAGAAGTTTTCTTTTGGCCTTCATAAGTATTTAATTGAACTGTGGACTGTTTAACAATTCAGATTTGGTCAAACGTTTTTGATTTGATCAACTCGTAAATATTTATGGAGGAACCTAGAACAATAAACGCTGACGTTCATCAGTCACCCACTCTGAGTCAACGTGTTGAATAATGAATAGGCAATTATGCATAATCAAATAAATGCGAACCATTTTGAAGTCTCCATTCTGAGGAACTTGAGCGCGATCCAGCGGCTCGTGTGGCGAAGATCCTTGATTCCCCATCTTTGAAATTTTACTTGTTAAACGTCCAACAAATTTGGCAAACACTTCACTACATTAATTCACTAATCCACTTAAAATCACTGCAACACGTCATCAGTCGTCATCACATCAGCGCACTGTATCCGTATCAACACACAATTAAAATAATGTTTATTACACCTTTTACGTGGAAACTAAATACATTGCCTAATAGTCCTCATTTGATAAAGTATAAACGCCATAGCAAGATAAAAATTTTGACGTTGTTGAAACAGCGTAAACATGGCAAAGCTCAAAATAAATAATTCAGGTCTGCAGATTCGTATAACCTTGTCGACTGGCGCATAAAAAGGTTCTTATCGGTACTTTGCTGGAGCCTCATAATCACATCAGATAATGTAAATTTAAATAAACTGACAACACCTGTCGCAGTTTAGAAGATTACAATTTCGAATCTCAGAAGTCCTAGTATTAAGGTAGATGCTCTTAATTTTAAGATGCAGAAGCCACAGAAACACGAAACGTGTGAATTCGTTAACAATAATTTTTAACACGGGGGTCAACTTTTCCCACAAACGATGAATAAACGCAGAGAGGCGCATTGAACCCGGCACCCGGCACGAGGGGGGAGAGAGGTTAGGTAGGTAGCTGGGAACGACTGCCGATGCCAGCTGAACGTTATTTTTTCCCACAGCATTGTTCTTTGGACCGTAGCGCGTAACGATTATAGCACTAGAACACTTTTTCGTAATTTGCACTAACACAATTTATTTTAGGTGACACAAGTCCAAAACTACATTTTGACTAGAGGAATAATTGAGGAATGTGGAAGTTGTGTATAAGGAA